CTTGTTACTTTGTTCTCAAGCTATCAACATTTGGTCTTAGAACACTTTCCCATTTCCTTGTTCTCAAACTATCAACATTTGGTCTTATAGCACTTTCTCTTATTTTTATGCCTGACTAGGAAATAAAAGTAGCTCACCCACTACCCTATTACTGACCTCATTTTATAAATGAAATAATAAACATGTTATTAAGAATAACATTCAAATATAAGTTAGGTTTTAGAGTACTCCCTATTGAACAGGACTAAAACAATAGCTCGACCCTTTTGACATTCTTCCTGGATATACAAAACTAAGCAGAAGTAGGTGCCTAGTAACTATTAAATGGCATTCCTGTGTAACAAGAGAGGTTCCTCTCTATATCCCGTATCCCCAGGACCACATAAAGAAGGTTCCGCAGCTGGGGCAGTTTGGTCTTTTATTATCCCTATATATTAAGTAACCCTTTTAGTTATGCACACTTGGAAATCCATTTTATGCTTCCAATAGTTTAAAGCCTCAAAAGCAGGTTAGAGATTTTAGTTGTCTCTCTTGTGCGTGCCCTCGCTCTCATGCTCTCTCTTCTCTCTCTCTCTCTATATATATATATATAAAGTTTCTCACACCAACAGTCCTCCATAGACAAATATGAATATCCAGCCCTGAAAGCTGAAAACATGTGTGTGTGTGTGTATTTCATAATCAGGAAAAAAGGCTATCTTTAACATGTTATTTATAAGTATTAGTAAAAAAACAATGGACAAAGACCTCAAGGCTAATACATGATTATTATGCCAAGCATAATGCCCAAGCACTAGTCCATTATTCACCCAGCAACCACTCTTGGCATTCCAACCAGGTGCTATCACTATGTCAAGACAGCATGATTACAATGGTACACAAAAGAAAAGTGGTGGCTGGGTTTATGGGCCTGCAGTTGTTTGGGGCGTATAGGTTTAGAGTGAATACATAATCACAAACGATGGCCTGGGTGGTTTAGGAAAGATGAGCTGGCTCGTAGAAACCCCGTTGCAGACCAACTGCAGATATAGTGGATGTGGGAGGCTAGTCTGAGGAAGTGACATGTGAGTTGAGATCTGAAGGGTAAACAGAAGCTAACCAGGCAAAGGGAAAGGGTGGGAGGGGAAGAGCATTCTAGTTACAGGAAACGCTATAGGAAGCTCAAGATGGTGAGAAAGAGATGGAGGCTCTGGATGAAGTTAAGGCAGCCAATGGAGCTAGAGAGGTGGGCAAGCACCTGTGTACTCAGGGACTTGCAGGCTATATTAAAATGTTTATATTCATAGCTACGAAAATGCCAGCCTACAAAGGAATAGAACTCATCTGTATTACCCAGTGATTTATATTATGCAAAGTCCTTTAAAGGTTTTTATCTATGATATTTTCATTGGCTGAATCTCCTAAGGGACACAAGTTTGGGAGTTAGCCTGACCAGCGTGCCAAACCCATAGTGATCATCCAGAGTGGGTAACCTTCATAGAGCCTCACTTACTAATCTGTAAAGAGGAGATGATACCACTCACTGTCAGGGCTGCTGGGAGAACTCACAGGCACATGCAAGGACACAGGCATAACGACTGGCACCATGCAGCCCTGCCCGAGCATTGGAACACCTGAGGGATGAATTCAAGGAGAAAGGCAGAGTGGCTATCAAAGTACCACCTTTATTACTGATAAACCTGAGACCGAGGAGTATGACTTAAGAGTGCAGGAACAATAGGCTTGCTATTCCTGAAGCACAGAATTAAACAGACTCACCAACCCAGTCCCAGGCCACACTAGAAAACCACGAGGCCTCCCATATGTTGAGTGCTGCTGTAAAACTCACACGATGGAGGGACAGGGTTCCCATAGGCAGTCAGCTCCCCAAAGAAGGGGCTGGGCTAGGCATGCTCAGCCCTTCCTCCCAGGCAGCTTCAGCTTGGGCAGTGAGAAGGCAGACAGGAGTGCTGCAATAGTACAGTTCCTGCCACTTGGAAGGAAACATCAGGAGCGGGGAAGAACAGTTCCATCAACAGTATCTTTAGTACTATCTGTAAAACAGTCTTGTTTACACCATAAAATGTCATAGGTCAGAATATAAAGTCCCACATATGTCTGTGTTTTTTTCACTAAATGCCCTAAATTTGTTTTTATAGACACCATCAAGTTAAAAACTGAAACAAAACCAAATTTAGCATGAATACAACAGGAGAAAGGTTCCTCTCTGTTTTCCATAGATACTCAGTCTCCGATTCTCACCCTACTCCAGGAAATAAGCAAATTCTAGCCCTAAGGAGAATCTTAGACATACTACTCCACAGTCTTGTTTCTAACTGAAAAAGAACCACCTCTCTGGTTTTTGAAGGGAAAAGAAATTAAGCCATAAAGGCAGATTTCATATCTGTAAGTATTTGTTTATTAACAACAACAAACAGGCCTTAGGGCTATCTATCCATTTATTTATCTATTTGCTTGTGGCACGAATCCTGTAACAATATACTTTTGTAATACTCTCCTAATATTTCTCCAAATAGAAGTATCTCTCAAAAGAATGTTTATTCAAAAGCAATCTCAAGCTTGCACTTACTGACCCCTCACAACTACTCAAGGCTGTTCTGAGGGCGCTCAAGTATAAGAAAACCTCCTTCTCAGACTTACGCATGTGCTGAGAGGACTA